TTGTTAATGAATAGCAAAGGTTAAGGAAAATACATTTCTGATTCAAGTTTAATACAAAGTAATAGAGCAGAGAAAGCAAAATTAAAAAAAAACTTTAAAAAAATCAAATATCATAGCTAAAGATAAGCCTACACCGACAATATAACGAAAATTCATTATTGTTCTTTAAAATATTGTCAAGTGTAGATTGAACTCTTTCTTTAAATCTTTTGTACATTGCTGTATGCAGAAAGCTTTATTCATGTCTCAGCAAATTTGCATGTTCACATTCTCACACAATGAAACAAGTGTAGTTGAATGACCTGAGGCATTATCTAAAATCAGTAATGCTTTAAATGTGGTATTGTTGTCCTGGCAATATTTCTCGACAGCTAGGCTAAAACAACTTGAAAAATAGGTCTTCAGAAACAGCTTTAGTCATCCATGTTCTCTTATTTAACCACCAAATAATAAGAAGCCATCGATAGTTGTAGCCTCTCAGAGCCCAAGGATTTTGAAACCGACAAATAAACATTGGCTTTTATTTAAAATCTTTTCTGCATTACCTCCCAATTAAATCCAGGTTGACATTTTTTTCCTTTCTTAGAAATATAAGTTCTGGAATTCATACTTTTCCAAAATAAGCCTTTGTTCACATAAAAAAAATTTGTTGATTAGTATGCATACTTTATTTGATTATTGTCTTCAAAACATGAGAATAATTTAGCTGCTGTGTCTTCATCTGCCCTGGCCACTTCTATGGTAATTTTAACATTATGCAACTGAACTCAATTTTTTAAAGCCATCAAGCTAACCAATGCTACAGTAAAAGTTTCTTCACTATTCATTTCCATTTTCTTTCACTATCTTAAATAAACCTGAAGCCTTTATCCAAATGGGTGCTCTAAGAGGAATGCATTTTTTATTGCAATTTTCAATCTCTACAGCTAAAAAATGCTTCATTTCTATCACTGGAACAATTCTACTCCTTGTAGGTTGCAAATCACAAAAAGCCAAGACAGCTTTTTTCTTCAATTTCACCAACATGTTTTATAATATTCTGTCCTGTAGATTCAGGGACTCCAACATCTTGTCCTATTTAGAGTTACTATGACCGCTTTCCTGCCGTTCAATTACATCAGATTTTTGTTCTGATGTAATAACCATCCTCTTTTTTCCCACACTGGAATGTATCCAGGTGAAACATTCTTCCTTCTGTCCTCTTTTTAAAGGTTTCTTTTTTTTTTAAATAACACAGCTGGTGGTAATATGGTACACAGCAGCACCTCATGTTCATTTGTGATGATAGAAAATCACAGACTTACAATGAGATGGTATGTCAAAAACCTCAACCAAGGCAGAGTATAGTTGCATTTTAGCTCACCTTAAATGCGATGTGGTATCATTTTATCATTTATACTAAATCATATTTCACATTATTCTAACACACATTAATCACAGCCTAGAAATTAATTCTCAACCAAGACTGAAATAATCTGGACTTTGGTCCAAAAATAAAGAGGATATATTTTGCTCCTTTCCAACATTCTATAGGGGTGATGGTGGTCACTTTCAGTTATGTCGATGTGTTTTATTTTCACATTATGTATATTTGCAAATTGATTCCATTTTGTAAGAGATGTGCTGTAACAAAGTAAAACAGCTAATGAAAAATAATAATAGTGACCTCATCTGAAAATGCATGCAACATGCCTCACCTCTTTATTTTTTTAAAAAATTAACAGAAATCTATTTTCTCTCCCACACACAAAGAAGGAAAAAAAAAACTTTCTTATAAGAAATATGCATAGTTAAACAAAACAAATTTCCTCAATGCCTGTACACAGAAATACATACGTCTCTTTCTACACCCCAAATCCATCACTTCTCTGTAACGAACAGCATGTTTTCATCACTGATCCTCTGGAGTCATGAATGGAGTCACTGAATTTTTTCAACATTCTATGTTCTACACCTCACTGGTTCTTGATGATACAAACATGCCCTCCACTGCTATAAATCATGACCAACGCTTGCCTTCTGATACTTTGTGATTCTTATCCATGTCCTTCATAAATCCTCTACAGAGGATCTGAACAAAGTATGGAAGACCTTTATTTAATTTATTTGATATTTTATTGATGCCACTACAATATTCAGATTGTCTATCTTCAAATATTTTTGTCACCACACGGTATGGACCTTGAATGCATGATGGGCAACAGGAAGCTGGGGGTGAGGGAGAATAACAGAAGAGAGAAAAAAAGGCCCTTCTACCATCATTCATAGCCTGCTTCATGAATGGCTCGATTCCTTTTCTAGTGATACATTTTCTGAACAATCTTTTACACCAATTAGTATCATAGAATAATGGATTTAGAACTAGAAAAGATCTTGGATGTATATCATCCATTATAGCCTTCTAATGTTACAGACGTGGAAAATGAGGCCCAGAGAGATTAAGCGACTTTTCCAGAGGCAACTAACAGCAGCGGATAAAATGCTGGGCCTGGAGTTAGGAATACCTGAGTTCAAATTCAGCCTCAGACATTTACAAGCTATGTGACCATGGACAAGTCACTTAACCTCTTTTTGACTCAGTTTACTCAACTGTAAAATAGGAATAATAATAGTACCTATTGTTGCAAAGATCAGATGAGATAATGTGTAAAAGCACTTAGCACAGTGCCTGGCACATAGTAGGCACTACATAAATAATTATTCTCTTCCCCATTTGTGGACCCAGAAGGTCCCACAGGTGGAGTCAGGATTTGAACCCAGCCTCTCTGACTCTAGATCCAACACTTTCTACCATGCCACACTGCCCCCTAATTCGTATGTAGGTCATAATTGATGATGTGTGAGCAGCCACTGTGTGTCTTTCCACTGCCAGCTGTATGACCTACTATCTGTATTCTTCTCTGACTGCAGGGCTCCATAATTTGCAGCCTTACAACACTCTTTGGAAGAATAATTGTGTTGAAGAAAGATGAGCAATCGTTCATTTTGCTATTTGCAGTAGCAAAAGCTAACAGCAGTTTTAGGAGTCATTGAAAACACTGCACAATTTCCCAAGTGTGGTTTGAGCCAGCTCTCTACTTCCTCTTCAATTCAGGGTCCATTCCATTGTCTACTTGTATTTCCTAAGGCATATGGACCGAGAGACTTACTCAGTGGGTATAAGGCACCCAGATGGCTCTGTAGGTAGAGTGCTGGACTTTGAGACAGGAAGACCTTGCTTCAGACACTTACTAGCTCTGTGACCCTGAGCAAGTCACTTAACCTCCCTCAGCTTCAGGTTTTTTTTATCTGTAAAATGGGAATAATAATAGTATCTACTTCACTGGGTTGTCATGAGGATCAAATGAGAAGGTACTCATAAAATGCAATACAAATGCTAGTTGTTGCTAACCCAGGAAATAAATTTTTTAATTTTTCCCATTATGAATTTGATAAATGTCAACAAACAAAAACATTTTCCTTCATAAGGAATAAAAAAGAGGTCTGCATATAAAATTGTGAATCTTTACTACATTTATTTATATTTGTGTATGAATATGCATATGCATATATATGTGTGTATACACACATACACATATATATAAATTATACATGGTAGTTCTAACAGTGCTCTCTGCTTGTCTATTTCCTTCTGAACTTCCTTCTCTCTTCTGTTTATTTTTAGTGATTTATTGATAAGCTTTTCTTTTTTTCTTCCTCTTTTTTTATAAGTATCAATACCTTCCAGTTCTCCCAACTGACCCGTGCAAAAAGCCCCTCAGTTATAACAAATAAGTATCATTACACAAAATAAAGTCACAACCGGCTATATTTGAAGATATATACATATATATATATATATACATGTGTGTGTCTGTGTGTGTATGTATATGTGTGTATATGTGTGTGTGTGTACATAAATTCTGCACCTCTAGACCATCATCTCTATGCCAAGTGGTGGGAAACACGATGCATTATCAGTCTGCAAGAGTTGTGACTGTTCAGGCAATATACACTCTTCAATCTACTTGGCTTTTCCTATATGTATTGCTATGGTCAATCCCTTTGGATTGGCAAAGTGAGCTCACTGAGATCTTCTTCAAAGCATCCTACCCCAATGTCACATATTGACATGAAGGTAACCCTAGCCTTTCAAAAACCAAGCCAATGGAATCTACAGGTTCTATCCAGCTGGAAAGGCTTCCAATAGTCTCAGGCTTTGCATTCCAAAAACCAGCCACGTTAAGTGTAGAGATATTTATGCCAAGCAGGTTAGCTCCTATGTGATGAATCCTTTTACCACTGCAAAGGGATAACAATCCAAAATGACCTTCCATCCTATGTGACCTCTTTCTTCTTCTTCCCTTGTAGTGGTAGGAAAAGGGATAGAGGATGCTAAAGATCTATACTCAATGATCAATAAAAATTAACTTGTCATTATTTTATCAACATATTTACCAATTCTATTCAGCAGATAAGGGCCATTTGCACATATAGAAAGTTAATTTCCATTTCTATTATACTAAATAGCCCCAGAGATTGCTTATATATGAATTTATTCATAAAAATCACTACAAGTGAAGCAGGAAGTCTAACTATTAGTTGACTCCTATCCCCTACCTCCCAATTAACTTGCTGTATTTTTTTGGAGAACTCACTTTGCTTCTTCAACTTTTAAATGTTTTATCTGTTAAATCTAGAAATCTAGCTACCTCACTGGATAGTCATGAGGGATAATAAAGTAATACATTTCATTTTCTCCTACTTTGTATGCAATTTTCAACACTCTTGGATTACATGGAAACAAGAGTTTATATATAAAATAGCTATACAAACATTCATTATGTTTCATTTTAGCATACTTTTACACCCTCAAAATTATGAATCATGTATTTCCAGATACATGGGGGAAATTTGACAGTTTGATGTATTATAATAACATTTTTAGGATCCTGAAAAAAGAGACAAGATAAAGGCAAGACACTGTCAGAAAACTTAAATTCATATTGAAGAATCCTTACCATTTCAAGACCTGTCACATTAAGAGTAGTTACTTTTTTCAAATTCCCCAGTATCTTGGCAAAGCAAACATCAGTGATCTTGGGCACTCTTCCGATATTCAAGGTCAGCAGATGAGGGCAGGACAACGCCAAACAGCCCATACACCTGGCTGTGAGAGCGTGACAGCCAAACACTTCTAGTTTATTGAGGCTGAAGGAGGAAAAAAGGAGTTAATGACCCTTAAAGGCCCAACTCACACACACACACACACACACACACACACACACACACACACAGAGCATTTGGCTAACAGTTACCTACCTGTGCATCGTTTCCATTTTTTCTTTGGGGAAAGTCACTATTTCAACAGGATTTTCAAGAAGCAAGTAAATAGGCTTGGATAACATGAGGTGAGATTACAAAGACATCAGCAGATGAATAAAACCTACCAAACAGTCACTCGATGACATCTAAAGTCATTTTACTTTACAGTAAAAACGGTATTTGAGTATACTACTGTATATGATATTTATCCAATAAGCAGAGCTCAAATAATGCTAGTTTTATGCCCCCAAGTCTCACATTCTATTCCAAACCAATGGGGCATACAAGAATGTGGCCCCTGAGGATCACCTCAGGGACAAATAAAGCTGTCAGTTTTAAAGCATCCGTGCTTATGAACATCAGATTACATATACTGTATGAACTGATGTACAGAAGAGTCTATGCTTCAGATAGTGCTGGTGGTCTCATGTGTTTTCAAAGTGTTATCTGGATATAGAGGTCAGCACAAAACTCCATGATTAGGAAGAAAGCAGATAATCACTTGATTTCTGGCTGATCCCTGTCTGGCAAGGCTCCAGGGTCCCCAGATAGTCCAGAGGGAACAACAAAACCCCCATAAGCACCCTCTTGTATTGATTTCTAGGTAGGTTCCTAAGACTCCAGAAGTATCAGTCCTGCCATCTCTGGTCTTCTGTTTTTGTTTGTTTGTTGTTTTGTTTTGTTTTGGTGAGACAACCAGGGTTAAGTGACTTGCCCAGAGTCCCACAGCTAGTGAATGTTATGTATCTGAGGCCGGATTTGAATTCAGGTTCTCCCAACTCCATGGACTGTGCTCTATCCAATGTGCCACATGCCATCTCTGTTTTTAAGGAAAGTTCATTAGAGCAGGATTAGGCAATATGTGTTAACTGGTGCAGTCAAGGATGAGTCAGCACCAGGTGTAGGCATTTAAGAGTCCAAGGCATTCTTCCTTCTTTGGTCCAGCCTGTGCACTTGAACTGTGGTTAATAAACTCCTTTTATACCATCTTGATTCTGAAAGTCTTATTTCCAGGCATTAGATCACAGATTTTCAGAATTGAAAGGAATCTAGAAAGATCATTGAACTCAATCCCAACCAGAAGCATGAACTTTCACCTAAACACATACACAATCCTATTTGCTGTATCAGTTTCCTATTGGGTTTTGATCTCTCTGCTTTCTCCCCCAGCCTTCAAACCTAACCCCTCTCCCATTCTGACTCTGATTAGCCCTGTCAGAGACAAGAGGGTGGAAGGAGGGGAGGGAGAAGCTGGCTTTTCTTCTGTTATGTTTTTTCCTCCCTCTGGCTCCTAACTTGATGATAGAACATTTGAATGAGTGCCAGTTCATTAATAATTCCTTACTGACTGACCTACTGACTTGTTGATTAATACTGGCTTGTGATGTACCTTTTGGTATGTGATGTACCTTTTGAAAAAGTGAAATCCAAGTTTGCTACCAACACCTTAATGTTAAAGTGTCCCAAATGACACAAAGAGGGGGTGCCTGCCTCCTGCCTGCTCTCTCCCTACCTGCTTTCACTTTGGGAGGAGTCCTTCCCCTGCCCTGCTCCTGATTCTGACTTCTTATATTACTAACCTAGACTCCCAGAATCTCAGAGCTGAAGGGACCCCAAAGAGAATCTAATCCACCTCCTCATGGGAAGGATGGAGAAAGGTTAAAGAAAAGGAATTTTCCAGAGCCAATAGTCATGGTCAGAGAGGATTAAAAGTCCAATTCTGCCTCTGTAAATATATGGCACTTTGGCTTGCTAATACTTTGCTCTTAACTATCTACTAAAGTTTTGCTTTTATCTCTGTGAGTTTCTTCAGTTGTATTAGGACTTTGTACCTTGCCCAAGAAAAGATGAGAAGAGGAGAATCTAGGCACCAACCAAGTCAGATGAGAAAGGAAGATGGTGTGGGCAGATAAGGCATCATCTGAGCCCATCTGAAGTGCAGACCTATTATGTAATAAAAAAAAAACTGTATGGAAAGTGGGCTGGGATGTGAGACAACATGGCTTCTTAAGCCTGCACGACCCACTAAACATCATTGTGTCCTTGGAAACTTCATTAGTGAAAGGAGATGATTCAAAAAAGTTAAGTGATTTGCCCAGGGTCACATAACTATTAAGTGCCTGAAGCAATATTTGAACTCAGGTCTTCTGACTCAAAATCTAAGACGCTACCCATTCACACCGTTTTTTCTTATTCGTTTTAATCTTTGTTACAAGAAAAAATTCACTGGATAGGGGGTGGGCATAATTAGAAATAAATTTGATGTAAAAAGAAGTATCAGTGAAACTTTAAATTGTTTTAAAAGTTTAATTTGAAAAAAAAATAATTTGAGGATTAGTTGTGAGTCGTCTTCCCCCATCCCACCTAGATCATTTTATTCTGAAAAGCAACTCAAGACAAAGAGCCTTGATATTTGGCAAGCAAAAATGGTTCCATTCATCCCTCAAAATTTGCAATACTGCTACCTGACTTCCTTCTTTCCGCTGCTTCCCATATCACAGGGCTAAGAGAACACAAACATCCGCCTGAAGCAATTACATTCAAAGTTCCCCCAGGAGATGGCCCCTCTATTTGACATTGTCACACACTTTGGGAAGGATAAATTTTTAAAACTTCATCATCTTGGCAAGTTAGGAAGTTGTAGAAAAACATTAAAGTGAGATTGAGAAGCTAAGGTCCCCAGAAGCGAAATGTCACACAGCAGGGGCTATTGGAAGGATGATATGTTATATACAAAAATCCAGTCTCTACTATGCAGCATTTATTATTCATTCCATGGCATCCAATTCCATACTCAGCCAGTTCTGCCTCCGGTTTCACTAAGACTACTAAAAGGCCGGAATCTTTTCACAGGGGTCAAATGTCTCCAAGTTGAAATTAATTTCTGTAAGCCAAATACCTAACAAAACTCACTTATGGTGTGAAGCTAAATTTTTAATGGTAAAAAACTGAATAAACATGTTGTGTGACGGTTTCAAAACAAGAGCCCCAACCCAATTACAGGATTTCCCTAGACAGGTGCAAAATCTTGAATTTCATCCTTCCATTCCCAAGAGACTTTCAGTTTTTCTTGGACAGCACTGACAGTTGCTTAATTGGAAAGGCTGAAATTTCTTATGAACCACAGGAGAGCATGGCGATTCCAACTGTGTCAAGCAGACATAAGGGGGAAAGCACCTTAACTCTAGACAGAGATATCCTGGCATCAAAGTTTTCCCATAGGAGAGACTTGGAACTATCTTGGTCTTAAGGAAACCATTCAATCTCTTTTTATCAACATGCAACTGATGAATTTGTGATACTTTTATATTTAAAAGTATAAATTATATTTAATTTTATGTTTATATAAAACATATAATTTGTATAAATATGCTTTATATTTATATAAATTACATTTAATTTTTTAAATTCTACTTAAAAGTATAAAAATATGATCAATTTCTCACTTAGGAAAACTGTTTTTCTCCCAAGTTCTTTTTCTCCCAAGCTCATCATCCCATTTCAGAGAAACAGATAACCAAAGCAAAACAAAAAAAAATGTATAATTATTGTTCTGAGCAAGTCAACAAAGAAAAGACAGGCGTAAGCAACCCTGAGAGTCCAATCTTCATTCCTTTGTGAGACCACTGAAAGATACAACATGGAACATTTAATGCATGCTCTGCAGTAAGAGGAAATCACACCAGAAAGAATACACTTATTAAATGCTCCATAGAACTACCCCCAATAGGTGATCAATGTTGATTTTTAATACTTCAAATACAGTATGAACCTATAAAAACAGCAATGCCGTCAGATTAGAAGAACACTTGAAATCACTGGGTAAAACAGATGACCACATATATATTGATCTTTTCTCTCTTCCCACTGGAAACATAAGATCTCTATAATATATCCTGCAAGGTTACTGGCGATGTTCTTGGAAAACAACTATGCATTTGCTAGATTATTCTTTGGAATAGTACTCTTAGTAGACTTTCTACTTTCATTTATTTTAACTCCATATACTTATTATGGCCTCTAGATAAGTGTGAATTTCTTATCAACCTTCACCATAAAATGTTTAAAAGCCCAAACTCATCACAAAGTAGTCAAAAGGTATAAAATATATCACAAAGAGTCTCATGAATGGAAAGGATCTCTGAGGTCATCCTGTCCAACCCATAACTCTCTTAGAATTTCTATCTAGCCACACTTCCCCCTTCCCGCAATTATGTGGTTGATTCTCTGAGCCCAAAGACTATAAATTTATTTATCCTCATTGATTCTCATCTTATTAAGTATATCATTCTAATGTGCCCAAAACATTCTGGATCCTATCATCTAACATGTTAGCTATCCTTTACAGCTTTGCCAGCTGTAAACTTGATATACTTGATAACTTCATTGAAGGTATTAGTAAAAATATTTAGCATTTTTATTATATATTTATTGGTATTTATTAAGTATTAAGTGTTAATTAAATATTAAATTAGTATTTATTAAATACTTATTAGTAAAAATAGAGGGCCAAGAACATTACTAGGGCTCTCCATTAGAAAATTCCCTCCAAGATGATATTGACCTACTAATTACCAGTTCTGAACACACTTAAGGACTATTACCTAGCCTAAATCTCCCATCAGGAAACGTTTCATACATAAAGAGACCCTTAAGCCAAAATCTGAAGGAGAGATGGGTTTCAAAGAAATAGAGGCAAGGAGGGAGTGAATTTCAGCCACTGTGAACAGCCAATGCAAAGGCTCAGAAATGGGAGATTGAATTTTGTGAGGAACAAAAAGAAGTCCAGTTTGGGCGGAATAAAGCATGTGTAATAACACTGGAAAGTTAGGTTGGAGACAGATTGTAAGATGAGGTGGGGTGGAGTGGGGAGGTAGGAAGGGAGG